CCCCAAAACCCCAAAACCCCAAAACCCCAAAACCCCTAGGTGCCAAGATATTATTGGATAGATGTAACCAACTGAAATTTCTGAACTAAAGTTTATCCAAACCAATGTTCTTTGTTTCAGCATAATTTTGGAGGAGACAAAGGACATCTCTAGAAAGGTAGTGTTCCCTCTTAATGTTCTCTTCAAACCTTGCCCTTGTGAATGGGTCTTTGTAATACCTATATAATAGTTGATCGATTGAGGCTCCATCGTATATCATTCCAGATGGAGCAAGTTGAGGATCTGTAAATCTTGAATAAAAGATTGGGCATTGGATTAAATTTTGAAGCTCGCTGAGAAGTTGCTTGTATTCTTTATACTCAGGAATTGTTATCAGCCTGCTAAGCTCTTCCTCTTTTCTGATTATTTCATTGATTTGTTCAATAGTATCTTTCATTTCAAATTTGAACTTCCTGATCTCTTCGTCAAAAGAATACTCTTCTTTTTGCATTTTCCCAAGAACCTTCTCAATTTTACTTGGATCATATTTCATATAAAAATTCCTATATCAATGAATGAGTTCAATTTGTCACTCTTCTAAGTTTTCTTAAAAATGGAAGATAAAATTTCTGACGTGTTACTTACATCCTATCCTCATTTAGAAGGACTTGACTATTTGTCTGAGCTAGTTCTTCAGTCAATTGACTCAATTTAGCTTCAATTTGTCTTTCTCTGATCTTAGATTTATCGAATCTTCCACCGCTCATGATTTCTTCAGTTGTTGTATCAATAAGCCACCTGAACACTAACCAAATCACTTACTTAGTATAGTTGTTTTTCTTTTGTCTAATTTTAAGCATCATTTCCTTCTTTATAGCCTTCTTTTTCATCACTTCTTGTTCTGTTAGAGCTATCTTTCTTTCTTCATGCTCCTTAACACGATACTTGCGTTGTTGCCTGATCTTCCTTCCTCTCTTTCCCATTTGACTCTCTTATTGTAAATAACTTGGCTTAAATTTGATCTAACAATTTTCAAATTTGTGCAATGCAGTGGGGTTTTGGGGTTTTGGGGTTTTGGGG